AGGAGAATGGACAGAGAAATCTACAGCCCCTTCTCTTGGCCACCTTTGGTATATATTTAGATTGAACTGCATTGCCTTTGTAGCGGATCCTTTTATGACGTTGCTCGCTTTGTACTTCAGATCCTCCAGGGATCGGTCTTCCAGAGAGAAATCGCGGGACCGGGAGAAGAAAGAGAAGAGCGCGTCGGAACGGCGGCACGAGAGCACCAATGGCAAATCTCACTCCAAGAGGTCGGAGGAGAGGGAAGCCGGCGAGATCTGAATTTCCCTTCTTGTACTGTAAATAGTCTTGGAGAAGCATTCTACACAGCCCAAAATCTCTCATTTATATTAACGGAAGACAGCACATCCTTTTTGTAGTTCTGAATTTCTATCGTTTCCGCAGCTAGCAATGACAGTTCCCTGCCATTGACCGAAGCTTTGTTTTTATTAAGCCTATAAACAAACCCAGCAGCCAGGAGGGGGTCCATCCAGATTAATACTTTAAGCAGAACGCAGCTGCTGCTGGGAAGCGATCCTATCAGAAGGATTGCGGTCTGCTTTTAAAGGGGGGGGGGATGTACCTGCTCACTTTAAAGCATCACTTGCATTTCTGTTGCAAAGTTTTAAGTTTATACCCAAATTGAAAGACCCTCAGAAATGGTGGTGCCTTTGGCCTCTCTTCCAAAACCCCTTCATGTGGGGGACCTCCACTCCTGTATTTCAAACATCCCACCTCTCTGTAAATAAGTCAGCGGTTTAATGGGCATGCACCCTTTGTCATTTGAGGGGCAATTGCTCCCAGCTGGATAAGGCTTTGGTTTTGGGGTTATTCTATCTCTAGTCTGGTGAAGTTATAACATGGCATTCTAATTTAATTGAACCTTTAACTGGATGATTTTGCCCCCTGCGCTGTTCTTTGGTGTAGTTTTCTCAGCTTGCCTACGTTTCAGCCTGTTCGCTTACTGAATTCGATTCGCGTATCCTAATTTGTCACTTAACAAGGAGAGCCTCATCCATGGCCCTGTCAAGAGGTGCCCTCGCTGGGCAGGGGATTCCCCCCCCTCCCTCCCACAAATGTATTCAATTGGTGAACAAATTGTGTAGTGCTACAACTTAGGAGCTGCGCTTTTCCATGATAAATTTAAGCGTTGGTTGGAATAAATCGGTGGGATAATGGACCATAATCTATCGCTCTGCTCTGCTTGAGAGTTACAAACACTTGAATTTTGACAAATGACCACTGCAAGCAGAGAAAAGTTAATAAGCAGTTGCCCCCTGGTCAACTGGGGAAAACGTGTGTTCCATTTCTGTACCTCCTCCCCTTCGCCCCTTTTTTTGGCTTCCCCCCCCCAAAATTGCAGAGATGAAACGGGTTTCTCCTAACCCTAATGCACAATTTAGAGTTTTATTTTGCTGTCGCTGCCGCTTTTTCCTGATAGAGCCACCCACGCGTGGATCTTCTTCATGCATAGCGTATCGATCGGATACAAGAAGCAGCAAGCAGAGGTGGATCGACTGTGCGGAGAGGGCCTCCACCTCTGATGAAAGGCTCCCAGAGCCACAGAGAGATGCCATTGGGATTTTTTAAAATCTTAAAATGCACCCCCCCTCCCCTCCCCCCGGAAAGGTTGATGGGTCCAGGAAAGAAACCGGCAAGACAAATCACGTTAAATGTACAAAGCAATTAGGAATCCTCCACCCCACCCTCCTCAGGATTTTTATCTTCGGTATTTGAGCAGTTTGATCTGTAACAGCACTTTCCCCTTCCCCGCCCCCTCATGTCCTCCCCCTCCCCATGTCTTTTGAGGAGTTTTGGTCTTAGTGACAAAGATGTAATTCAAGTGCTGATGTCCTGCCAGTCTGATTCACATTAAAAGCTTACCTTTGTGGCTTGGCGTGGTCAGTGATCTATTTGAGGGTTACATCGATGTTCAAAACGTCTTGGAAAAAACAAAAGCCCTAATGACATCAGCACAGAGTAAGAGTAATGCGCCAAAGCACATACGATGAGTGTCTCTAGCCCATAAGGTGCTCTCTTTGTATTTACACATTCCTGAATTGTGACTGTTAAGTAAGCTCCCAATTGGTAGAGCGAGTACGTTCAGAGAAGTGTTGTGAGAGTTGGGTTGGAGAACACACAAACCAGCACACAGAGACACTGCAGTTTAAATAGGCTTTTACTTTCGTGGAAATAGAGGTATCAGAGTCCATCAAACAGTCCAACTCATACATAGATAAGTCAGTCAGTCATCAACGTCTTTCAGTTAAGGGATAATCCAAATAACATAGTCCATAATCATACAAACAGTCTGGTACTAGTTTGCTAGCAGTTGCAAAACTTACAATAGCTCACAGCACTTTCTAACAGCCAGCTTCCAAAACACTCAAATCAGATCAGCCCAGCATCTAACATTACAGACAGCTAACAGTCATTCTGGCTCCCTCTTATGGCCGATTGAGGAAAACAGCAACCAATCACATTTTAAAGTATGATTTAAAGAAACAGGTTTAGCATTGTTACATGATTTATATATTGCCAACCCAACCGTTAGATTATATTCCTAACAATGACCACTTGGTAGAAGGCTGGCTCAGTATTTTTGTTGTGTTATAACAAAGACCAGCTGTTAAAATGGGCTGTTGGTCTGCCGTACCACATAGAACGGGGGTCAGCAACTGGTGCTCTGGAGCCGCATGTGGCTCTTTCATTCCTCTGCTGTGGCTCCCTGTCACTGGTTGGCTCCACAATTGATAGAACTTTTGGTTAGGACAGGTAGAGGAAAAAGGATGCCACACTAGGAGGAGACTCTGGTGGGGGAACCAGACCTCCAGTCAGCAGAGGAAAAAGGATGCCACACGAGGAGGAGACACTATGGTGGGGAAACCAGACTTCCGGTTGCCTCCAGAATTGAATAGGGAGCTTCCAGTTAGGACATTTGTGGCTCTTTGAGTGTTTAAGGTTGCTGACCCCTGACGTAGAACATTGTATTAGAGCTCTCCGTCCTTGGCGACTTGAAGATCTATGTCCTTGAACTCCCAGAACTCCCCAGCCAGCATAGCTTGCAGGGGAATTCTGGGAGTTGAAGTCCACAGGTTTTAAAAGTCGCCAAGGTCGGATCCATATAAAAAGAGTTTTGAGAGTTGGAAGTAGATTGGAAGGAGAAAGCTACCACTTCAGCTGAAAAACATAAAAATTCCACTTATCTTGGTTCCTGCCGAAACACACACACCTAACACAAGCTTTATGTGCTTTTCTTTTGTTCAGAGGATGAATTAATCATTCCACTTCCATTAGATTGGCAAGCATCCTGGCATGTTAAGTTTCAATTAAATTCTGTTTGAAAAGGAATCCTTTCCTTTGTATTGTTGCTCATCACGGGCATCGCCCAGGTCTGCTAAACTCTGCATTAGCAGCTCTTGATCTTTGGCCCCAGTGATCTTCTCACGGCTCCATACTACATATTTACTACAAGGCTCCTGAAAATAACCAGTGCTCCGAATTGATTTGGGCAATATTCCGAGCAGATTGGTTCGTCTTGATTATGGTGACTCGCCTGTTTTGTCCAGATGAGATTGGGGCTGATTTAGATATTCCAAACAATACAATCAATTTTTTAAACCATTTCACGTAATGGAATCTGACTGATTTGTCAAACGAGCCAAATTTTTTGTCTGGGCTTCATCAGCTGCTGTTACTACGCATTCGATCAAGGGTTTAAGGGCACCGGTTTCCTAAAATTACCAACTAAGTGTGTTCATATGGAAGTAAACACTGAATACTTGCTGGGTTTCATTTTGTGTTTTAAACTACTGAGTCACTGTTATTACGAAGTTCCAAAAACAGCATAGTGTAACATTCCCTTTAAACTCTAAGAAGGTATAATAAAAATTGGTGTAAATGTACTTACAATAAGAATCTCTAAAGTTCATAGAATTTATGTCATCAACTATAATCCTCTTGTTTAATGCAAGAATCTGTATTCAACATTCTGGGTGTTGTGGCCAGTGGATCTGACAGCAGATTCAGACAGTGAGGAGGTTGTGGGGGAACATGGGCCAGTCCTGGAGTCTGGGGAAGGCTCTGATGAGGGCTTTGCGGCCAAGGCAGAGATGGGGCCAGGGCCGTCTGNTCTCTCCTTGATTAGTTTCCACCCATTGCTTCTTGTCCTGCCCTCAGGTGCTTTGGAGAATAGCTTGACTCCCTCTTCTTTGTGGCAGTCCCTGAAATATTGGAACACTGCTATCATGTCTCCCCTAGTCCTTCTTTTCATTACACTAGACATACCCAGTTCCTGCAACCGTTCTTCATATGAACCCTTCTTCATAAGAAAGAGGTCTTCTGCTGTGCTAAGAACTCAAAGAAGCAACACAGTAGAAAATGAACTATGTTTGGTCCCCAGGCAGTGCAGATCTATGTTGGAACCTTTGGCCCTATGAAATCATTAGAATTTGGAAGTAGAAGGAAGAACATAAAAGTTCAAGCAGATGTCAAAAGTAACATCTGCTTGACAGAAAATGTTGATAGAAGTAATAGGGCTGCTTAATAGAAGATGAAAAGTATTGATTAAACATGTCTTTCTCCGCTATTTAGAATTTACTTTATCATGATAATTCACTATTATCATAAGAGCCTCGGTGGCGCAGTGGTTAGAGTGCAGTACTGCAGGCTACTTCTGCTGACTGCCAGCTGCCTGCAGTTTGGCAGCTCGAAATCTCACCAGGCTCAAGGTTGACTGAGCCTTCCATCCTTCCGAGGTGGGTAAAATGAAGATCCAGATTGTTGGGGGTAAGAGGCTGATTCTGAAACCACCTAGAGAGGGCTGTAAAGCACTATGAAGCAGTATTTAAGTCTAAATCCTATGCTATTGCTATCCTTTGTCAAATTCATTCTCAACCTTTTTCAGTGTGTTACCTTCTGGGCTCTTAAGAGTGTTTGATGCTTTTTAGAGTAAAGAATCCTGCTTGCATACTTCCTCCAGCCCCTTTTATTAAAATCAGTGTTGCTCCTTTTTTTCTAGATCTGGATCAAGAAATCGAGATCGCAGAAGGTAAGAGAGCTTGTATGTGTATGAGTGAGGGGTACTTATGTGTGTGCGTGCGTGTTTGTGTATATATATGTGTGTGTGTACATACACACAAACACACACATACATACATTAAGGTGATGGTCCTTCATTTCCATTTGTACCAAACAATTTTTTCTCATAAGGAATAATGTAGGGAGTCACAAGGCAGTCAACACCATCAAGATCTTGCTTTTGTGTTGAGTATCAAACAACGAGTACCAGGACAAAATGTGTTGAATACCATACTCAATGCATTTCAAAGCCGTTGAGTACCAAGGCACCACTGTATTTGGTGCTTTGGTACACAATGTACAACATTGACTTAGTTCCTTGTGTGATAAAATACAGGCAAGCACTTGTTAGAGGAAAACTCAGGCATAAGCAACGAGTTCGCCCAAACCTGTAGCGGAAATTGTGGGTGGTCCTGCCTATCCGCCCTGGGTCTGTGGCATCCCATTCAGGCCCTTTTTTAGACAAAAGCCAATGCGTGGAAGGCTGCGTGGAGGTGGTGTGCACGCTCACATTTGCAAACTGGTAGGGAAGGTAACTGAATACCACCCCTGGGCATAAATAATATCTGCACTGTATATGAAAAGAAACTGAGGTCCTCCGGTCACTCTTAATGGAAAACTGATGTGGGTGGATTTACATCTCCCCCCCTCCCCCAATCTTCCTGCTGCAGATCGCGATCCCGAGAGCGGAGGCGACGACGTTCCCGCTCCCTTTCCCGCGAGAAGCGAAAATCCCGTTCTAAGTCTCGGGAACGTGAGAGGCACCGGCGCCACCGCAGCCGTTCCGGAAGTCACAGTCGGGGTCACCGACGTGGATCCAGAGACCGGAGCTCCAAGCATAAGTATGGCCAGCATTACTTACTGCCACTTTTTTCTGGGAAGGCTTGTTTCGCTTGGAGTTTAGCTAGAGGAAACACTTTAAAGCTGAAAGGAAACCAGGATACGTTTAGAAATAATGGTGCCAGTTTCCAAGGCCCCCCATGGAATAGGTTGAAAAGAAGCAGGAAAGGACGGGCTCTTGTTTCTTTCCTTCATGAATAGAATAGAATAGAATATTGGAATGAAGGATAGGATAGGATAGGATATTGGAATGAATAGAATAGAACAGAACAGAATGAGATTCCATCCACTTCAAAGACTGCAAACTCCAGCAGCCATTTTGAACTCTTTTGGAAGTCCTGCAAGTCCTGTTTTCCCCAGTGTAAGGGAAGACTTCCCTGCTTCTTCCAAGCACTTTTGCTTCTGCTAATGGCATGCTGCTCACTTAGGGAATAATTGACATATTGCAATGGGAAGATAATTGCAATATGCATTTCTAAAAATGTTCAGAGAGGCATGTACATGGATGCACAAAAGTAGCCCAAATTGGCGGTCTCTTGCACAGAAAGACGCTACTGATTTGATAATCCAAAGTTTAATCCAAATTAGGAACAAAAAGAGATTCTCATATTTTGAGAGGGACAGGGTGCCTCAGTAGCTAAGACGCTGAGCTTGTCGATTAGAAAGGTTGGGGTTTTGGAATCCCTAGCGCTGCGTAATGGAGTGAGCTCCCGTTACTTGTCCCAGCTTCTGCCAACCTCGCAGTTCGAAAGCACGTAAAAAATGCAAGTAGAAAAATAGGGACCACTTTGGTGGGAAGGTAACAGCACTCAGTGCACCTTCGGCAGTTAGTCATGCTGGTCACATGACCACATGAGATGTCTTTGGAAAGTAGAAAAATAGGAACCTTTACCTATTGTTTTTAGAGATAATGTTGGAAAGGATCTAGTTTGTAGTTTGCTCCTAATAATTCCGTTTAATACTTACCATTCTATCCCTTAACAGAAGGAAAAGTTTAAGAGAAGTAATTTATTTCCCAGCATACAAGTTAACCCCACTCCTTTGAAAATCTTGTTGACCTAATGATAAAGTGGATTTATAACCTCACCCATTAGAAGCGTGAGTGAAAATATAGGGTATTTATATCCCTTTTCTTTGCACAGGAAAGGAGGATTAAAAACTAGGGATATTATAAAATGTGTGGAAACGGTTAACTCGTGGTTGAGATACTAAATTCATTTTTTAAATCTGTCTTAAACATGAACAATAAAGAAAAGAAGTTTGGACAATTAGGAAATGAGGAAGACCCTGTAATTACTATTACTCTAAAGAGCAGGTAAGGGAAGACTTCAGAAAATATGAATGTACTATAGCTCATAAAGAAGAATTGCATGGAGAATATTTTCTGAAAAAAATGGGAAATGCCAGAAACCTGGAGAGAAAATAACAGATTGCAAATACTCTCTGTTTCTTCTAAATAATCATCTGCTCCAATTTCTTAAAAATTCAGCATCTTCGAAAGAAACAGTATCTGGCAGATGCAAAAGTATATGTATATAAATCATTATATTTATGGATGTGGAACTGTTCATGTCCTTTTTTTGCTTTTGCAATAGAGATGTAAGTCGATTTTGCATTCCAGAATCCGAAAAGCTTTAGTCAAGGACTGGAGTTGTTTGTCGGGAGGAGGAGAACTTTGTTTTAATTTTATGGGACAAAGTTATGCCCAAGTCTTAAAGACTGCTTTTCAGGTAAAGCTTTGAGAGCAGAATACCTTTGTTTTCAGCTTAGGTCCATAACAGTTTCAATGTAATGAGACACTGGAATAATTCAAAACGTGTGGGAATTCTGTATCCTGTAAGGTCATCTTCCCCTTTAGATACCTTCATATCATCATCTTTTAAGGACCCCATCATCCCTTGCATCAGAGTGGAGTCTGGGCAACTGAGTGGAGCTGAGTGCTTACTGGCCAGATGCCCTTCCTGTCACCAATGCAGAGTTATATTCAGCAGATATATTCTCATTGTGCCCAGAGAGAGAAAGAATCTGCCTCTACCTAGGATCGAACTCACAGCCTCCTGATTGTGAGGGGAGAGCTCCACCTCTAGGCCCCCTTTTAGATACCTTCATATGCTAGCTAGAAACGATGGGATTTATCCTAATTCATTTGGAGTCCCATCCTGCTGGAGAAGTCATCGATGATCTTTGAATTAAGACTATTGGCCTGCAGTTACAAAGGAACAATTTCCATTTGAAGTAATCCTCCATTTAACAACCCAGCACTCAAAAGAGGGACTCCTCGGAGTGTCAACATTCCCCCCCCCAAATCCTGTGATCCAAATTGGTGCCCTTGGCAAGCAGGATGCGTTTCCAAAGGTGGCAGCAGCATCCCAGGATCACGTGATAACCTGTGACCGTATCAGGCACTTTCCGACAAGCAAAGCCAATGGGGAAGTTGGATTTGCTTAACACCCCCCGCAATTCACTTAGCAACTGCAGTGATTTGTTAACCGTGTAGAACCGTGGTTGTAATATTGCGTATGGCTCACTTAATGGCCACCTTACTTAGCAGTGGAAAACCTGGCTCCAGTGGTTGTCGTAAGTTGAAGACTACCTGTAACTTCATACTTTGTGTCCTCCCACCTTTTAGAGGGACGCGGTGGCTCAGTGGCTAAGATGCTGATTTTGTTGATCAGAAAGGCCGTTCAGTGGTTCGAATCCCTAGCGCCGCATAACGGAGTGAGCTCCCATTACTTGTCCCAGCTTCTGCCAACCTAGCAGTTCGAAAGCACGTAAAAAATGCAAGTAGAAAAATAGGGGCCATCTTTGGTGGGAAGGTAACAGTGTTCCATGTGCCTTCGGCGTTTAGTCATGCCGGCCACATGGCCACGGAGACGTCTTCGGACAGCGCTGGCTTTTCGGCTTTGAAACGGAGATGAGCACCGCCCCCTAGAGTCGGGAGCTACTAGCACATATATGCAAGGGGAACCCTTACCCATCTTTTAGCAGTGGACAGGTGGCACATTCCAATCCCAAGGGGTAATCCAGGGTTGAGAGAAAAGGGAGATTGCTGACTTGGGTGAGGTTCATGGAATCAGTCCAGGTCAGGGGTGTCCGACTCAAGGCCTGGGGGCCGGATCCAGCCTCTGGGGTGCTTAGATCTGGCCCAGGGGGGTCATCCTGTAAACAGCGAAGGACTGGCCCGCGGAGCTCCGTTTTCACTGGGTGTAGGAGGCCGTCACGGCCGAAAATGAAGCTCATGAGCCCGTTTTCGCTGGCAGAGCGCTTGGGCCACCACAGGAGCCCCCAACACAAGTAACGTCAAGCTGGCCACGCCCACCCTAGCCATGCCCACCCCGCCCCAAGGTCAAACACAACCCTGATGCGGTCCTCAATGAAATCGAGTTTGACACCCCTGATCCAGGTTTTATCATCTGCTTCTCCTATCGATTGAAACTGTAGCAATCAGGCCGGCATTGAAGTCAGCCAGCGCTAGCCGTTAGCCAGTTCACATCGGCTGAAGAAGGAATCTTAACCACCTTCAGAATTATTTTTCTTCCTGTTGTTCCCTCCTCCCCCCCTTCCTCTATTTGAACACTAACATCATTGTGCTTTTCTCTGGGTGGCAGTATGGATTGGACTCAGAAGGAGAGGGCAAGTGGCTTTATTATCGTAAGGGGAGAGAGAGAGAGGTTGGGTCATTCATAAAAGTGGCTTACCTAACCATTCCTTGACCGAGCCAACCTTGGAGAGCTCCTTTGGTAAGCTGGGTTTTAGGGTCAAGAGGGGGAAGCTGCTTATCTATAGNCTTGAACTGGCCAAGGTAGGTCATCCCTGTTTTTACACTGTACGATTCTTCTGAACTCTAGCAGTTGCAACAAAATATTTGGAAATTAAGTTAGCTTGTGTCCTGTCTATTGCATGAACAGAGACGATTTGGCTAGTCTATGAATTCCTGGACAAATCAGATGATTGGTACATTTAATAATCACCATAGGTGTTTGTATGAACCTCAGCCAGCATTTAGTAAGATCTGCATTTGTGGAGGTCAACAGTGGCATAACTTCTTGTTGGTACCCCATAAGTTATTAGATTCCCACCCCCTTTTATTTATTTATAGGAACAAACTAGTGCAGTCATTTTCAAACCTGGCGACTTTGAAACTTGTGGACTTCAACTCCCAGAATTCCCCAGAATCGGGCGCGCTTTAGTTGAGCGCAGTTTTGTCGTGCCACAGATGTTGAGAAGCACCTTGTGAAAGTAGCCATCTGAAGCTGAGATTTGGGACCACCAATTGTCATATATTTTACTCTCTCTTTTTCTTGCTTCTGGTTAGGGTTAGCTTCTGGCTGAATCTTGCCTCTCTAGTTATCATGTTTTTGTTCTCCAACAAAGCTGAAAATATATTTGAGCGCTCTTGAGAAAGACTGAATCGGAGTGTAATATGAGTAGCAGATGTTCTTTAATAGAGGATTGTTTCTCATTTGTTCCATGAGTTTTTTTTAAAGTGCAAAGCTCAGAAACCAAGCTTTGAAGAAGAGTTCTTTGATTGGCAAACCCTATTATCCTTCCATTGCGCTGGTTTATATGTGGCGGTTGTCTGTAGCTACATTATGCCTGGGTTAACAGCTGCATTCCCACAACACCTTCAGCCTGAATTAACCCAGTCTCTGCCTAGGGTAGCATCCTGAATCACACTGACCTCATCACACATTGGACCACAACCCAAACTAAGGTTGAAACAGCACCCCCCCCAGTTGACCCCCTGAGATCCGAAATGGGCTTGATTAAATACAGCAAGGGTTGTGTGAATGCAGCCAATATGTTGTTTTAAGAATGTCCTTGCTTTGCGCTGTGAAGAATCTACTGCAGACTGGGGCCGGTGTGGCTTCGGGGGTTGTGCATTTAACCCCACTTTGTGGATCGTGGCCTGGTGCAGAGAACATGGGGAGTGAGTTTGCGGGTGTATTTTCCGTAGGGATGAGAAAGGAAGATCCTTTCGGTCTTGAGGTGGTCTACCTGCAGGGGTGCACCCAGAAGAGGTGGGCGTGGGGAGGGGGCACTGGTCTGAAGGGCATCCCGGAGGCTAGGACCATAGACCGTTGTTATATTATAATGATGCATTCACCGTCTGCACCATCTTCTATGCTTGGCATTGGGGGCAGAGGAGGGGAGGGGGAGGGGGGCTTAGCCAGGCTGCCTCAGTCAAGCTGGGGGATCCCCGGCTCCTTCCCTCCTCCCCCCCCTCCACTTTGGGCAAGGTGAATTCTGCAGTAAAAGGGGCGGGGCTTAGCGGTGGGCCGGGGAGGGGGGGAGCGCCTGCTGATTGGCTAGCCAGCCTGCCCTGGTTCAGACAGCAGCGCCAGGAGTCCGCTGCGTCCCGTCCTTCCGTGCCTGGCAGCCGTGGGCACAGCATCCCTGGCTGGGGGCGCCGGCAGCTCCCTCCTCTCCCCCTTGTCTGTCTCTCGCTCTCTGGCTCCCGGCTCTTCCCTCTTCCATCCATCCGGCCATCCGCTTGCCTGCCGGGCGTTGCTTTCCCCGAGGGAGCCTGGCTCACCCAGGTTGAGACGCCAAAGCCGCCAAGATGGGGGTAAGTCGCAGTCCCTCGTCCCGTCCCCCCACCCTCCTTCCATGATCCGCATCTGGCTCCTGCAGACGAGACCCCCAGAGGCAGAGGGGGCCCGCCCGCTCGGCTTTTTCTAGCCCTCTCCCCCGCTTTGCCGGTGGGTTGCTTCCTCCCCCCCCCCCCCAGAGATGCCCTTTGTTTCTCTGTTGGGGGTGAGCTGGCTTTGCCCCCTGCCCAGAGAGGCCAACCCGGGGCCCGGACGTCCCTTTAGAGGGTCCGTCTCCGTAGGACCGGTCCGCAGAGCGTCCGTTTGAATAACCTTGCTGATTCTGCACTGGGAAACGCGCGTCGTTCTGGATCGACAGGTGTCTTGTGTATTGGCAGGCGGGGGAGCGGGGAGTCAGCCTTCCTCCCTGCTGCACCCTCCGGAGAAGTTGGGAGACGATATCCCATCATCCTGAGCCGGCGGCTGCTGGTTGGGGACGATGGGGGCTTGTCATCCAAGGGGTGCAGAAGTCACCTGATGGAGAACGGTCGGCTTTGGTTTTCCTTCATTACTGAGACCCCCGCCCCCACAAGGACCCCCGACCCCATTTCCCCACTTCTGCTCTCTCTCTCTCTACCTCTCTATCTCTCTCTCTCTCTCCTGACCCACAATGCAGGAGGACGAATGACGCATTCCAGGCCATTTCCATTGGCCTCGACTTCCCCGTTGGCTTCAGACTGGGGGTGGGGGGCGTCTTGGCCCCCTTTCAGGCAGTTTGGAAATTATTTTAAGCCGGCCTCTCATATCTTCCCCCCCCTTTCCCTCCCCGTCCCCTGCCCCTCGGGAAGATGATGTGCTGCCTAAGATCCGTCTGTGGGGGGACCGTGTCTGTGTGCCAGAACACACGATTGTGCATTATTGGGGTGACAGGGATGGACCCAGATAAGGTCTCAAGGACCCGCGTTCTCCTTTATGAGACCCTTTTTTTAAAATTTGGGGGGGGTGGGAGAAGGGGGCTGCCTAGGAATCAGGGCAGGGAGAGGCATGGGTGCTGAAAACCCAGCAGGGAGGTAGCGGGGCGCTGTGGTTAGTCCCGGTTCTTCCCCCCAAAAGTGACAAAAGGTGTCAGCAAAGGCTGAACAAACGAAGGAGAAAGATGAGTCACTGTCTCGCAAAGGGAGAAAATGAGGAAGGTGTGGAAGGGAGATGGAGAAGACGAAGGAACAGAGACGGGGGGGGGCGTTTCCTTAAAAAGGAAAAAAAATGGGGAGAGAAATGGTTTAAGGGAAGTGGATTAACGCAGAGGAGGGGGCGCTCTTCCTCCTTCATTGGCATTCAGAAAGGGACGCCAGTCCTGCGGGGAGGGGGCGCCTCCACGGAGGCTGCCGCAGCCTAAGGCGGCTGTTCCCCCCTCCTCCCCCCCAAATAACCCTGGGATCCCCACAGCCGGCAG